GAAGCATTTAGGTAAACAGGTAATCCTATTTCTATTCAACAGGGCATTTAATTTCAGTACTACCGAAGACAAAAAGGCTCTACCCTAAGGTGGGTCTTAATGCAGCTGAGAACTGGAGGACATTATGATTTGCAGTTTGAAATCTCTTCTGTAATGAACTGCTTTCATGCTTCGTTCTAGTGAGCATAAGACCAAATTTGGTTCTCATTTAATCTTAGTAGTTCCCCAAACCTGTTCATCTGTAGGATGAACACTCTTCACAATTTTCACAGATGGTCAGGTTTTCACAGGTGCTGAGTTTCTCTACCCCTGGCAGAACCCAGTGGCACAGGCACCCTGTAGAAATAAAAAATGACTTCATAGCCTGTCTCTGGCAACCAGCTACCAGCCTGTAGAGGCAGTTGGCTATATCTCTTGCTGTATTTCCACTGGGTTATGGGGCAATAAAATAAAACTTGTTACTAAAGGGCTAAAGTCATGCTCTGATCTTTTTGAGAGCCTGCTTGAATTGTCCATAATCTTCTATTTATCAACTATTGCTAAAGTTCATTTATTTATAACCATGACAAATAACCCTCGTGTACATTCCTCCAGTGATTTATTGTGCAATTGTTTTGCATTCTTGAAATGTAAAACAAGCCATCAAAGTAAGACATGATGCAAGATACTAATTTTTAAGAAACAAAGGAGAATTCTTTCACATGGACAATGCAAAACGTAAAACAGCTGCTCATTCATGTTATGATAAGACTTAAACTAAAGTGTTGCAGTTCTGATGAGCTTTCCATGAGAAGTGCAAGCTGGTTTATTGTAGAATAGATAACGATTATGCAACTTCATCACAATGTCACTTAGTTCTCCAGTAACTCATCATCCCGCCTTAAAGACTGGGCTGTTGCTGAGCAGCCTTGCCTTAGAGCCGGTGTCCCTCATTGACCTGTAGTTGCAGAAAATGGCTCGCGCAATCTGATCCAGTTTCCATTATGGAAAAAGGGCTGGATCAGGCATTTTGAACATGATGTCAGTGGTCATATTTATATCTAATCTCCACTTCTCAATCTTCCAGCCAGTCTTCTGCTCTTGTAACAGTGTGTCCAGCAGGAAGCTGAGCTGCAATTAGTACACCATAGGAAAGGCACGGAGGCTGGTACCCCTCTCTCACAGAGACTTGGGAGACATGTCAGACTGGAGCTGCCCAAAGACTGTCTTCTGTGCAAGGAATTGGTGTTTTCTTTACTGGCTCTGTTTATTTTGTCTGTCCCAGTTAAACTCGTGAGCTAAGGAAAAGCCATCAAGTTGCTTAGGGCTTTTGTAGATAAACAAGCACATTCTATTCACCTAGAAACTGATGGGCACCTTGTGCTTGCACAGAGGGATTAATCTAAGACAAGTTTGGGACCTTCTTTATGAGTATTAGTTTTCAGGACCTTTGAATTAGAATGACTCCCTCAGGTGGACCTATGTTACTTGACCAGTATGTTATGTGGACATACATCAAATACTAAATGGCCTGTACTGTTATGTGGTCTCCCAGGTAGTCCAGGTACTGACCATCAGGATAAGTGAGCAAGCATGTGATGCTGATTGCATTACTGTTTATTGAGCTCCATCCCAATTCCACCATCACACAGCAGAGCATGGGCACGCTGGGAAGCCTGCTGGCATTGCTGGGATCTGCCTGTCAGCTCCTGGGTTTGTGGCCACTTGCAGTAGGCCCCAAATGACACTTTTCTTTCTGTGTCATGTGCATTCTCTGGTGAATTCACCCAGCAGCTTTTCCCTTAAGTGGTCCTTTCCCAAGCTGTCTCTTTTACTTGACTGCCTTGTATGCAGGACCTTAGTAATCCTTGTAACCTATTGCCCTCCGTTAGGCTGGCTGAAATTGATCAGTGGGTTCAAGAGCCTCTGCCGGCAAATACAGGCACACACCCATATGAAAATACACATGAACAGGCACATTATGATCATACATACCTGTTTTCCTAGAAGCCAGATGAAAACTCTACAGACTCTCGTTGCCCACTCTTGCTATTGTGAGCAGAGTCAGTCTCTCAAGATCCAGGAAGCTTGTAGTGAAAGTATCTGAGTTAAAAAGAATTAGATGGCTGTCTAACCTTAACGTAATCAAGCTTCATCTCAGCAGGAGCTGAAACAATGTACAGAGCTCTAATATTACTGGAAATCTGTGAAATGGGCAGGCTGTTTCTTGGTTGTTTTGTTCTGCTTAATACCAATTGTTTAGAAAAGAAAACTTTTCTGAAAAAGGAAATCAAGAGCATTTCTCCATCCGTACTGTTGCTGCAATAACAGGAAGCAAAATTCACATATACAGAGCTTGGCAGATAAGAGCTGAATAGTAGTTTGTTTTTATAGCTGGTGGCAAGTGATCCAAGAGAAATGCAAATCACTTGCCCTCCTAATTCACAGTGAGCTGAACCCTGAGTCCCCTGGAACCTGTGCAGGCGCCAGGATGGAGCTCCCCAGGGATGAGAGCTGCAGGATACCTCTCTTGGGAATCGGTAAAGTGCCTCCAAGATGACCAGTTCATGGTCACAGGTTATTGCAGCATCATCTATGTAAGGTGATCCGATCACTTACAGAGGGAAGGCAGCAGTGGCTCTGGGCAGTTGGCTGTGCCTCACCCAAGGCTTGCTCCAACTTTTGGTCTATTGTTTTTCTAATGTCACACCATCAGATGAGAGGAGTATTCAGCTGACTGGCTGTGTGAGAAGTAGTAATCCGGGCAGCCTGTCTGCTTGTTGCCTTGGCAAGGTCAGCTGGTGGTCATCTTCCCTCACAAAATTCAGCAACATCTCAAACTCTGCAACTGGCACTGCACAGGTTGCCTTGTAAAGTGTCTGAGCTGTGAGATGAATGTTTTTGTAGCAGCAGTGCAGGGAGCAGCTGAGGGCACTGCTACTCTGTGAGGCTTTAGGACAAACCCAACAGCTGCATGGTTCTACCAACGCTATAAGCAGCAAAGTAATTAATAGACTTGACACTTACATGTCTTTTGGGGGGGTAGGAGTGGGTCCTCCCTGTTACGAGACTTGCATCTCTCAGGTGGTTTCAGACTACCTGCAGACTTAGAACAAATGTACTCTGCTCTGTTCATGTATTCCAGCTTATATGTATAAATTTTGATGAGAAAAATGAGGGTTTAGGATGTCAGAGCCACATTTCTACAGCACACCAAGAGCTGTGCTTCACAGCTCTCCCTGTCAGGAGCTATACAATACTTGGCAGTTTCCCTTTTGGATCCTGTGTCTTGTCTTGTCATTTCCATTAATTTTTTCATCCAGTTTCTTAAGTTAGTGTGTAATGTTTTGCTCCACATTCATGTTCACAGAGCCTGGAATACTATCAGTGGATTCCATTTAATTCTTTCTTTTCACCTAGCCTGAGAGCTAATCCAGTTTTCTGACAGCACATTATTGTCAGCTAAAGCTGGCACAGCTAAGGCATACGCTTTCTGAGTTGGGGCTTCTTCGGTGGCTGGTACCATTTGGTGTACACTTATGGTACCATGTCTGCAAAAGAAATACAAGATTACATCTTTAGCAGTAAAAAAAAAAACAACCTAAAGCATTTTAAACTACTGAAGTGCATTCTGACCATTGCGCCTTCTGTCAAATGTGGGCCCAAGAGGAGAGCACTTATTAATTTCTGGGGTTGTAATAGTGGAGGGAGCCTTGAACAAGGCCCCTGCTGCAAATAAAGACCTGCAGGAACTTAGGATTCCTGCCCCAAACAATTTACTATTTAGGAAATAATGTACTTCTATAATGTATGTGTCTCACCAAAAAATCCAGTCATGCAGGGTGTTTTAATGGCTGAAATTAATCTTGATGGGGTAGCTTTATTAAACCATTCTCCTGTTGTTGCCTTTAGGCTGGGCTGCATTGCAGACATGTTTGCTGGCTTAAGTACTTTGAATGAGTGTGCCTGTCTTGACAAAGCAGAAAAAAAGAACTACTGTTTTTTTTGAGGGATGGTGGAATACTTCAAATAGTATCCATCACACAGGGATTCTTATCCATGTGAATTGCAATGTTGCTTAAAACACAGAGATAGAAATCTTGCCTGTATTTAGAATGGGCTGTGTACATATATATGTATATATGGGCTGGCAGCAACCTGTTAGTGGCACTCTGTTCTGTCCACTTGTCGGTGGTCCTCGTAGTTGCATGCACAGTATCTGATGTGTTTCCTACCAGGGAATGCATCTTTTACTTATCCTTCATTTACCACCATGAGTTAAAATGTTTTCCTCTCTCTCATAAGCTATAGAAACAAGCTCCATTTAAATGTAACCATAAAGCGATGAGCAGCTTTGTTACTAATGCTACCAGCCCAGTAAGTCTTTGACCACATGTGAAACAATGGCTGAAAATGCTGTGTTTGATACCTTGGTCAATTAAATTTCTATCAGGTGGGGTATAACTCAGAAAGCTGGCTGTTCCAATGACACAAGGCTGAGCAATGCTCACCACATCTTATCAGGGAAATACCTACAGCTCAGCCATTTAATTGCTGTTGCTTTTTAAAGTTGACTGGAAATATGTCATCTTTAAATAATCTGTAGGAAGTATCTGAGCTGGCAGTATTGTTTATGAAAGGCAACCACTGCAAACGTTTGGCATCTCCAGTATTCATGCTTATTGCTCGTGAGGTATAAGCACAAATAGCTGTAGCAAATTGGAACATAAGATGTATCCTGAATGGCTTCTGAAAGCATATGGGTTTGCAGAAATTTTCACACAGTCAAATCTCTAGACATCCACTGCAAGGGAAAAAGAAAAATAACAAATAAGCCCAAATCCTCACCATGGGCCTCAGCACACAACTTCAGAGCAGTACCTCTTTATTAGTGAATTGTTCTTCTAGAATTACCAGTTTCTCCACGTAACCAGCTACTTGCTATTTGCTGTCTGGTGGCTAACTGTAAGCTTCAAATGACACCTTCACTGAGACAAGTGCAATTAAACAGTCTTTTATAGGTCTGGGTGACTAAAACCTGGCTGGAACTGAGTCAGCACTTCTGTGGTGATGCACAAACTGGGCAGGACCCATTGCCACTTACCATAGTGCTGAGAAACCTCAGCCAAAAACTCCAGGGGTTGACAAGGCTGGAGGACACTTGCTGTAAGTAATGAGGAGCTCCAAACAATTCCTGATTTAATAAATCGTTGGAAACTTTTGTAATGCACAGTTTAATAGAATTTAAAGATGAGAAAGGATTAAATGAATAACAGGAAGCATCCTGCAAGAATTTCCCCCAGAGCACTGTGGGCGAGGGAATGAATGTGAGAGAGGGAGCACACATTTTGCAGTAGAAGAATGCATGCCCGTAAGGGGTGGAGCATGCTTCTGCTCGCTGCATGGCTCACAAGCACTTCCGGGAGAAACCGAGGCTAGCAGGGGAGAGGGTGGGCAACCTCCCGTTGCATTTGATTCGTGAGTCACTGAGATGCATTTTGTTTCACTTCCTTCTTTTCGCCTCTCCACCCCTGTAATAGAGCCCTCCTCTGTCACTTCGAAAGTAAGACCCGTTTTGCTGGGTAGCTGCTGCAATGGGCAGGATTTTTAGAGCAATTCTTAGAAGCAACATTAGCCAGTAACAAATGTCTTTTATAAAATGTAACATTTCCCTGACCTGCTTAAACCAGCTCAGTGACAGCACAGCTGCACAGAAGAAAAAAGGACTGTCTTTCTGCACAAGCTAAATTAACATTTTTATTTGAAGCATGAAACATTGACAGGAAACAACTGCTGTAGATGTAAGAGGTAGTTAAGCAGAGAAAACAAGCATGTTGCTTAAATAGGGAAGCTTGACAGAGTAAGTTACCAAAAACTCAATGATGCTTGAAAAATGCCATGAGAATGACGATTATTTTCTGCCACATAAGTGGAAGTATAATTCTCCTAAGCCACAGAGAATAATAATGTGGAGTAAATCATTCCTTCCCTTTTCAGACAAGCACTTTCCACTGGTAAGGAGAAGCAACTATGCCATGGGCAGGGGAAAATAATTACTCTGCAAAATTCTGAATAGCGCTTTGTCTATAGCAAATTTCAGTTGCTTTATCAAAGAAGAGTCCTGTTAACAGCTTTTTAACTAATGGTCGTTAATCTTGTGGTCCTACCTGTTTTGTGACAAAACAAACAAGTACAAACAGGTGAGACTGTTGTTACAAGAGCAGTGTAGCAGCTATGCACAAGATCTCGAGGGTGCATGAATGAATAGAACTGCCCTGTGATCTTGGGACTGTAACTGGCATGTCAGTGGGAAAAGGAAGGGGAAAGTAATCGAATTCTCTTCCCAGCTTCTAAAATGCTGCAAATCAATGTTAATTCTTCATGATACTAATGTGATAGGAACATGGGAAAGGCTGGGCTTGTGAACAGCAGTATAGGCACGTGGCCCAGAGCTTGATAAAATGCTCATATGTGTTTGACAAGCAGGAGTGGAGTCCAGTATTTTCTGTCTCCTGTGCATCTGTAGCTCCTGCTACTGTACTAAATTGAGCATTTCTGTGGGTTTTTTTTAGTGTTTATCCTTGAAGTACCACTTACAATAAGGGAGTGCTAGCATTTACAGTCAGCAAGAAAACATAAATACCAAAGGATCCCTTTCCTTCTTTTGCTTCTTCCTTTGGGGCAGTTTTTCTTTCCGTGTAGGTGTGGGTACTGGGAGCTAGCAATGCTGCTGGTTTCAGCAAGCCTTGGTGAGAAAGCAGAGATCATAATACTGTGAACTGGGTCTGGGCACACTCAGTATCCAGAATGTGCCTGGTTCCTTCAAACATACACCTCTGACACAACCCACAGCAGACCAAGTAACCTGAACATTCACTATGGGAATGTCAATAAAGGATAAGTGTAATTACTCAAACTGTTTCCATCCCCATCCCCCCTCCCACTGTTGTACTCATACATACGTTAATAGCCAGAAGTTAATTTTTCACCAGCTAGTAAAATTGGTTTTACATTCATTAAAATGCCAGAAAGGAATAAAGCATTTGATGAAAAACTGAAAAATGGAGGGGACCATAGTAGAAAAACAAAATATCTGTGGGCTGACATAATTCAGTGCTGTGAGATGAAGTGTGCATGTTTCACACTCCCACTCTTTCTTATGTCTCCTTTGAGGTACCACAGTACAGTGCATCAGTAGCAGTTGTGTGGTACCATAGGTGGTAAAAGACAACTAAAGAAAGAAACCTGAGGCAACTGAGTTAAAATACTAGTATGGATTTAAAGTTATAGCACTTCTTTATCAAGTTCCCTTTTCTCCTGGGTAAGAAAAGAAAGGGGTGATATATTTTGCTTTTCAACCAAAGCTCCTTTGCAATTCTCAAATGTATGGGTTTCCAGTAAAAAATGAAAAATTTGCTATGGATGACTTCTATGGAAAAAAGAACCCTGTATTTTGTAACCAAAACCTTTTTTTTTTTCCTTCATCAGATAGTATTTGTGATCTTCTTTAGCTGAAAGCGAACTTCCCATTCCCAATACCCCAGCTCAAAGGTGAGTCAATACCAATGTGAGGTTTTGTTTATTCAGAGATGTCAGGATCAGGCTTTAAGTCTGTAGAAACAAGAGGCCCTATTACTGGTTTACTTGTAGATGTGCAACTGATGGGTGTTCAGCCTCCAGGAGTTTAGATGACTGAGATAAGGTTTCAGATAAACATCCAAATGTTTAGATTTTTATCTAACCCAAAGCTCTGAACCTTTAAAGGATTACCCACCTCCAGGGATAATCCTGTAGTGATTTCAACACCTGTATTGAGTCAAAGTGAGTTCAGAGTCTCCTGGCCACAAGAAATGGTTTAAGCCCATCCTACTGTTTGTTTTGTATGGCTAAAACAGACTGTGTCAGATCTGAACACGATTAGCTGGGCACTCTGATTTTAAATGACTCCATCCCAAAATGACTCCAAATAGTCATCAATAGGATCACTTATTACCAAAGAAAAACAACGTGTGATGCTATGCTTCTGTGGCCTAAAAAGCAGATATGCCCTGAATGTTCTTAGGGTGAATCAGAAGCACTAAATACCTCACAGTTTTATAGATATTTCAGTGAGCTGCTTTTCTGTCAGCATTTTGCTCTGGAAGAAAACTTTGCTGCCCTGTCTTGCAGTTATCATGAAAGTATCTTCATAGATGTGGCACTGAGGGACATGGTTTTGTAGACTTGGCAGTGCTAGGTTGACAGTTGGACTAGATCTTTTCCAACCTAAACAATTCTATGATTCTACGTTGGCACACAGCAAAGGTGCACTCTATAGGTCTGCTGTCCCTAGGAACAAAATGAGATATCTTATGAGTGGCCATTTCCATCTGTTACCACAGGTGTATTAGACCTACTTAGAGGGAAGATATTTTGGTCCTGTTCTAACACCTGCACAATGCAGAGCTCATGGCCAGATAGGCTGTATTCTTTTCTCTTTCTCAGGTAGCAGCTTGTCCAGGTACCCTGAGTAGCAATTGGACTTTGGGCTTCATTCAGGCTTCTCCTAAATGAAGCAGTAACTCTTACTGGGATTACTACAATTCTTCTGGCATATCTGATGAATTATTCTGGGTTTAGTTTTGGTTTTAGATGCTATGGCCATGCTTTGCAATAACAAGGAACTGAGAAAAAAATTAAAAGAATTATGCCTAACACTTCATACAAACCTATGCATGTACACATATACATGTATACAATGCATATTATTTCATCATGAATCTGAAAGTGCTTTACATATGTTAACTGATGATGCAACAAAAATTTCCTTTTCCTCACTAAAAAATAGTCATTGGCTATTATTCTGACAACAGAATTATAGAACACAGTCTTCCCTGAGGCTTTTTGGCAAATCCTTTAGCCTTATTTGGACTGAGTTCCCTGTTAGCCTGAGAAGAAGGCAGAGGTTTTTTAATCAAAAGATTGCACAGTAGACAGAACTGTTGGTGTGGGGTTTGGTGCTTTTGTTTTGGTTTTTTATTTTGTGTTAGTTGGTTGTTTGGGGGGGGGGGGGGCGGGGGGGGGGGGGGGAAGTTTTTGGGTTTGGTCTTTTACATTCAAGCAAGAAAAAGAGAGTTCACTGTTCTTCATTTAAGAAGTTCATCTGTTGTAAGTTAACAAGCAACTGGAAGCAACTACTGGCTTTGATCACTCTTCTGAAGTACAATGGTATTTAAGGAAAAGCTGATCTTATTTTAATCACCGGTTCTTCAGCTCACCTTTGTAATTAGAAGGAAAGCTTGCCTCAACAATGCTCAGGTGGAATGCACAGGAAACATATGATTAAATGATGATTCTAAGTTTAGCATTTCACCTCCAGAAAGCAAAACAAGTATTGGGTGTAAAGTGTCTTCCATACAATCAAAAGACATTTTAAAGATTAAGCTAATTAACAATGGCATACATAATAAGCAAAGACAAAGGATGAAATAATAGTGAATTAAAGCCAGTTAGGATCTTGCAGTGGCATTCAACAGGGTTAGATTTTCAGCCCTGCATTTTCACACTAGGTCTTCTCTACAGATTTGATTTGACATTTACAGTGAGGTGAGTTGCAGAGAACTTTATCAACAAGGAAACCCAGTACAGGCTGGGTTTACTTTCCTATACTAGCCCTATGCAATCAGCCTGAAATAGAAGCTTTTCCTTGTCCTCTTGTTCATCCTACTGCTTGGTAACTTCAGACAAATGTTTTTAACAGAGTTCTGGTGGATAAATTCTCCTTAATGTGTTGTAAATCCCTGGAAATGGAGGAGGGTGTTTTCCTGGAGAGAACAAACTTGGTTTTCCTTTTAAATAGAACTCCTCTCCAGTAACTATGTTGGTCTGGCTACTGGAAAGCAGACCTCTGCAAATGTATGTGTTAGGAATGTTTGGACTTAGGAAAAGTTAAGATAGATTGCACCACAAGGTCAACATTTAACTTTTATATAAAGTTGATGGTCTGGGGAGTATTTTCATCCGCATCACTGTTATTATCATAGGATACCAACTGTTTGCATCTCTGATTCATTGGTTATTTCCCCATCATCCGAAGAAAGGTTTATCCCTGGTAGGAATTTCGTAAAAGTAAGGGGAGAAGTCACTGCATGAACAGACAGCACTGTTTTCATTATATTGCATACTAGACAACCAAAATGAAACTAAGAGTTACCAAGAGTTCCTACAGTTTCTTTAGCCAATAATTTCCATGTCTCTGATATTCTCACCAACCTGTTTCACCCTAGAATTTCATGTCAAGTGAAGTAAAATCCAGTGTGTCCTATCTAAAGAGTGCAAATGCACATTGAACTTGATGCTAAGCAGTTCACAGCTCTCTTTTCTGAAATTATGCTGAGCAAAGTCTTGCCTCATGCTTATTTGTAATTGTAGTTTGAAGGATCATCACAAAAAAGGCTGTTTGTTGAAGTGGATTTTAGAGTCTATACCCAAAATATGACAAACAGTCCGAACAGGCTTTCTGGAATCTGACAGGTATTCAAGTCTGGAATACCTTCTTTCCCTACTGAAAGGAATAAAATGTGTAGCCTCAGTAGTCTCAGCTTTTACCT